GCCAGGCCCTCCCAGTAAGGAGAGGCCAAGGGTTGGGGCTTGCTGGGGTGCCTTTAAACCCCATCATGCTCAGCCTGACGATAATAGCGGAGCCACCGAAAGCAAAAGGGGTGAGCAGGGTCCTCACACGGTGCCAGTGCAAGAGCAGGTGACGATGTTACAGGGGGAGGAAGGATTAAAGGGGGTGCAAAGCTCAAGGGCTCCCTTCCCGGACGGTGGCTGTAGGCGCCGAGGGATTGCTGTGTCCCGGCATTGTGCAGTGGAGGAGGATGCCATGCCCGGGTGGAATCGCCTGGGGAGTCTTAAGAAAACAGCATGCGGCCATCCTGGCCTGGAGGGGAGCCAGGGCACATGGACACTGGAGCTTGCGTCTCTGCTGGGACGTGCCGGGGGATCTCTGCAGACTGCCGGCCGTTGGGATCTGGCTTCTCTGGAAGGTGGCATCTCCGGGGGAGCAGCGGCGCAGCAGGGCAGGGTCAGCTTCAGAGGTCTCTGTGTCCACCGTGGTGCCTGGGATGCGGCGGAGATGCTGCCAGGTAGTAAAGAGCAGCAATAAAAAAGAGGGAGAGAGAAAAGCCGCTGTTTGGAGGAGAGGCTGAGAGCGCTTGGCCATCCCCAGCATCCCTGGGGCATTGTGTGCCCCGGGGGGTCCCAGGGCAGGGCTGGGTGGAGCGCAGGAGCTTGCAGCAGCATCCCGGCCCCAGGGCAGGCTGGAGGGTGCCGGGGGGGGGCGGAGCGGGGCTCCCTGCAGGATGGGGGTTCCCAGCCCTAGCACGGAGGCCAGGGAATGGAGGGCTGGTGTGGTTAGAGGCGGGAGGCTCTAATTACAGAGGGCTCTGCCTGCCACTGCAATTAGAGATGATCACCCTGTCCTGGAGCAAAGCCAGGTGGGATCTGCCGGGCAGGTGATGGGGAGCAGCCTGGGACACCCACAGGCTCCAGCCTGTGGTTTTTAACCCTTCCCATGCATGCTTGGTGCACCTCAGCATCCTCCTTCGAGGTGGCCCTGACCCCATAAGGACCTTCCTTCACCCTCCTGCCCCAGGCTCTTGGCAGCCCACGGGCTTGCAGCTCTGCCCGGCCTCCCGTCCTGACGCTGGCATCGCTCACCCTGCGGTGGGCTCGGCACCAGGTGCCTGGAAAGGAGCTGACCACCTCCCTCTGCCAGAAAAAGGCCCTGAGCAGGCAGTTGCATTTCCTAGAGGGCCATCCCTGGCTTGCTGTGGGTTTTGTTAAATGTCTGATAAACTCCTGTCAATGCCCCGTTCGGCATCTGCTGAACCCGGCTTTCTGCAGCTGAGTGTCCCCATGCCCCAAGGGAGGCTGGGGCGGGAGGGCGCTGTGGACAGGTCAGCGAGGGTGAACCGGCAGCTCTGATAATGGGAACCAGCAGCTCCCCAAACCCTCATTTCCCAGGGGCTGCCAGTGTGTGAATCCTCCCCGAGCTGTCGATGCATCCTGTAGCTTACAGGTACAGGCCCGGGGCTCATCCCGGCGGAGCAGCTCCAGGGCTGTCCCCCCCCCACAGCTGGCTCTGCCCCTCCAAAACCCTTCCTTGCTCTGCTGAGTGATGCCAGGACTGCCTGCCAGGCGTCTGTAATCACAGCCGTGATCACCCCATCCTCCTTGTTTTCCAAAAAGAAGCTGCATCGCTCCGTCCTGTCGGTGCCAGGAAGGGCTGGTGAGCAGCGGCAGCTTCTGCGCCCGCTGCTTGCCCCGAGGCGTGGGAGCAGGGTCTCACCCAAGGCAGTGGGAGGGAATCAAAGGTCCAAGGCTCCAGGGTGGCTTTGTCCACCTTCCCTGGCAGCTCTGTGCCAGGAGGTGCTGCCCTTCGAGGCGTTGCCCGGGGTTATCCTCCCCCCGCCAAGGTCCTCGCTTGCAAGGTTTTCCCCTCTTTGTCCCCATCTCCCCATCCCCGTCCCACCCCAGACATCCTTCTGCTGCCGCAGACCAGTGCCGGCGAGCTTTTGGAGCTTCTCTTTGCTTCCTTCTCCCTTTTAGAAGGAATGAACTGCATGAACAAGAACCACGGCTGCGCCCACATCTGCCGGGAGACCCCCAAGGGGGGCATCGCCTGCGAGTGCCGCCCCGGCTTCGAGCTCACCAAGAACCAGCGCGACTGCAAACGTAAGGAGAACTCCGGGGATAGGGATACGGCCTCCTGGGGACCCCTAACCTTGTCCCAGTGGTACAGACCCCTCCTGGCCCTGCTGCAAAGCCCTGACCCCCCCCTGGTACTAGTTGATTTATCGAGCCTGAAGCCCTCTGGCTTCATTTTCCTCTGGCATGCCTGGCTCTGCCTCCGTTGCCCTTGCAGACGATGCTGCTGGCATTCCCCTCTGCCATGTCCCTACGAGACGTTGTGCCCTTACACTGAGCGGGCTGAAATGGCCATTAAAGGGGGTCCCAGAGTCGCAGCATCCCCCGTCCCTGTCCCACCGTTTCGCTTTCCCAAGGGGAGATGAACAGGGAGAGTGCGATCGGCACAGGAGGAGCGCAGGAATCCTCTCCCCGGGGGATGTGGTGCTCTCAGCCTGTCTGATCTCCTGCCAGCATCTCTCTGGCACTGCCAGGGTTATTAAATAGATATGTATGTGTTTATGCAATTACATTTATTTTGTTTCTCATTTGCTGTCTGCAGCAAACGTGTAAAATTGCTGATGAAATGGAGTTTTAATCCTATGAGCCTATTAGCCCTCCAAGCTAAATGAACAGTACGCCTTGCCCCCCAGGGAGGGCTGGCAGGGATTCCCAGGAGCACCTGAGTCATTCCAGTTCTCGGGAAAGTCCCGCCCTTCCCCTGTAACACCAGATCCAAGGTCAGGGGCAACCAGCCCACCGGTCCCCTTTGCTCCGGCTCCACTGGTGACGTTTAGCAGATATGCAAAGGGAAGACGCGAGAAACCACATAACAGTTTGCATCTGCCAAGATCCCGCAGGGAAAGTCAAAGGGCTTTAGAAATTATCCAGGAGGGAGGGATCTCTCCGAGGGTACGGATGAGGTTTTTTCCAAGCCGGCTTTATGCTACCGCTTGGGGATGCCGGGCGGGGAGGAGAGGGGCCGGGTCCCTGGGTGACGGCCGGTGCTTTGCCTCCCGCAGTGACCTGCAACTACGGGAACGGGGGCTGCCAGCACACCTGCGACGACACCGACCAGGGGCCCAAGTGCGGCTGCCACGTCAAGTTTTTGCTGCACTCCGATGGGGTGACGTGCATAGGTAGGTGCGAGCCATCGCCTGGCCGCGGGGACGTGGGTCGGGGTGCGGGATGGCTCGTCTTCCTCCCTGGGCAATTTGCTCTTGGCCCTGATGAAGGGGGGTTTTTTCCCCCCAAGCTTTGGGGATGCGGCGTTTCCTTTTGCTGAGATCGGAGAAACTCGGTGCGTGTGTGAGGGATGCTGCGGGTACACGCGAGGCTCAGGGATGCGTCGCTGCTCGACCGCGGGGAGCAAAAGTGGCCGTAGGGATGCTTGAGGGGACGTCTGGGGACAGGTCGGTTGTGCCGGGATGCGGGCAGGGGTCCCTGCCTGCCTCCGTGCCACTGGAGGGAGAGGGGTGAGGATGTCCCCATGCTAGAAATTGTCACTGTCACCGGCAGCATTTGGGGAGGGACACAGAGGAGACAGATTTGGCCGCCGCGATCCATTCTGATTTGGTACCGCGGGGCCTCAGCTCAGGAACAATTGTCTTGCAAAAAAAACCCCAAACCCCAACAACCCGACAACTCAACCACCCCCAAAATTGTCCTTTTCCTGTATGTGTTTTCAAATTGTAAAACATCAAACAGAGATAGAATTTTTACTGGTTTCATATGCTTGTGCTGTTTAACAGCTGATTTGATTTAAAAAAATGTTACATTCGGGGAGTGATTAAGTCCACAAATTGCTCTAGACGTTTGAGTTCTTATTGCAAAATAAAAAAGAAAAAGGAATTGAAAGCAAGAGAGAGGTTTTGGCTCCCCGTGTCCCCGCTGTGCCTGAACAGAAAACCTTCTGCTCTTTTCAAAGACGGCTCCGTCCTCGT